ACTTTTTATGTGCTTGTGATAACAGAGAAATTCCGTGTGCTATTTAATGTACGTAGCTTACTATCACATACCATATTGTTTAAATTATTTCTGTACAGTAACAAAAGGAAAGTTAATGATTATAAAAAGTGCATGAAATAATCATTGTAATCTACCACTATTCTAAAATGTAGAAACTAAAACTAAATCATTACCTATGATCGAAAAAACTGGTGTTAAGAAACATCAGTATTATAAATATTGCAATCCATGATTATTGCACTTTTAATTGCTACTTTTAAAAAACACAAATATTTTTTGATTAAATGGAAATTTTAGTTCTGGTACCTCCTCTGCTATTTATACTTTCAAACCTACTAGTCATGTTTTTCTTAAATAGTGCTGTCATGTATGTTGTTTGTTAGTTATTGTTTCATTAGATATGAATATGGGAAGTTATTACGTAGATTTAGGTGTACTTTAATCACATTTATTAACTACTTTACTGTCTTTCATTTCCAAATCTTGGAGATATAGAAGTAATGGTTATATTTTTTTACTGTGAACGCGAATAATTATACTTCAGTTCAGAAAAAATACTGATTATTTACCTTAAGAACCGCTTCCTAATTATCAGACAGGGTCAATTTTCAGTGTCTCAGATTTAACAGAATAAAATGATAATGCTGTTATCAGAAAACGCTCTCTTTTTTTCCCACGTATCTTTACTTTTTATTATGTCTGAGTTTATTTCTTAAAAACCTACTATTAATGTTTATATATTAAATAACCACTTTCATAATTACTCTCACTTAAGGGGAAAAATTAGTGAAATCTTAATAAACGTAACTTAAAATTTAAGTTATTAAAAAATATAGTTTAATAATGAAGTAATCGCTATAGAATACCATTAGTTAAAGAGAAAAAATTGTATTTTTTTTTCAATGATAAAATATTAAACTTAATAAATACGGAATCAAAATTCAGAAAATTATAATCGTAAGCTTTTTTCTGCATAATGGAGTAGTAAGCGGGGGTACGTGCGGCGGAAGTGACGTCACAGAAAAGGGGCGTGGTCGCCGCCATCTTGAATCACGTGACAACCCGGAAGTGACGTAGATGGAAGGAATGACGTAGACGGAATGACATCATCAAAGTTTCGTTTTGATTCTGTGGCAACGATCTTTTCAAAGTTTTTATTTTTTGTGGCAACGACACTATTTTTTATGTTTGTGGCAACGAACTCTTGAACCACGTGTTTGGAATGACATCATCCATTGTTGCGACATGTTGCTTTTACAAAATGGCGTCTGCCGTATCACACCTTTGTATGCCTCCGCTGAGGTGTATGGATACTTTTCTGTGAACCAATCAGATTCTTTGAAATATGACCTCACCGTCTCTTAACCAATCACCGTTCAGATGAAATAAAGAGTTCCTACCCGATATAAGGCTTATCCCGAGCAACGTTCCGCATTTCTTTCCTGCCTGTCGCCCTGAGTGTACGTACCTGCTTTTGCTTGGACTATCATTGTTAATTTCATCAGATTTTTTTTCTCATTGTTTTGAACATGAATCCTGGACAGCACGAAACCACATCGCTGCAGAGGTAAGTAAGTTTTTTTTTTTTCAAAAAACATACTGTTTTTAGAGTTTTTAATCTTTAAAAAGTTTATTTTTGAATTTGCAATATGTGCTTAATTTGTCTTTACTTTTTTCAGATGGAAAACCTATTTGAGAAAGAACCTATGCCTTTGAACGATAAAGTGTTGAGGACCGCACCCTATTTTCGAACCCAAGAGATCATCTCTTGTGCCAAAAGAAAAGCAGAAGAAACATCCCATTTCGAGAAAAAAGTACGTATTTGCGAAAAAAGTTTATATGTTAAAGTTGATATTGTATGTGACCCCATTTTTGTGTGTTTTTTGTCTACTAAATGACTGACAATTTTTTTTTTTTCAGCGCAAAGGACTTTTCACCGAAGACGCTATTCCAGAGGAGCTCACTCACATGGGAAACAATGTCTTTGTGGGACCCAGAATTTACAAGGTAAAAGTGACTGTGCACATCCGAGAGTATGCCAAATATGGTAAAGCTTACTATCCGACAAGACGAGGAGTGAATTTTGAGCCATGGTGTTTGAATGTTCTCGCAACCAACATGACAGTGGAGGAACCAGACCTGCTGACACTGAATCTGGAGTTGCCCAAGAATTTTGTGGTCACGTATAAAGATTCCCACTTCACTCTGAAACAACTTTCTGCTCAAGGAGATGAAAAAAGTAGCCTCAGCATTACAACGACGCAGTGGGAAGAACTGATGACCAACTTTAGCCGTATCAGCGATATTGTCACCAACCTCGTTTATCAAAACATGAACTTTTGTGAAGCCTACGAAAGCGTATCCGACGAACCTGTCAAGAGGAAAATCTACCTTCCAAATCCTTCGACATTTCTATGGGAAGAGCGCGACTTCAAACCATTCTAAAGACGTCGCTTGAAGAACTTCTTAATCAACAAGACGAACTGAAATATCCCCAGCTGCATAGACTGTGAAGAACTCGTTCATAAAACAGAAACTGTGAATGCCATTGCTCTGAGATTCAATGCTGTTGACATCGCCAGGCAATTTTATGGAAACATTTGGGGTGAAGAACCCTATTTAATGTTACTGAAACCTGCTCACTACATTACCAAGGACTTTTTAAAATCTGTGTGTTTAAACCATGTACTCGACGAAGTAAAAAACACATTTTGTACTACTACGAATGGTGTCTTAGGTATTGAATACTATGAATATCTGTAAATTAATTAGGATGTTCAATAAAAAAATGTTATTTTTATTTTACAATGGCCTCATTCTTTCAGACATTATTTAAAAGAATTAATCTGTAATGATTACTCACATAAATTATTTTCAAAATACCTGTTGACTTTTATAGAGTATAAATAGTGTTGTTATTCTTAAACATGTATCATTCATTATTCAGCCTTTGAGATGTTAAGTAACATTCATTTTTCTCTCTTGTTTTTTAGACCTATTTCTAGAATCTTAATATACGTGAAACTAGGGTATTTTTTTCTGTTCTAGTTAAACATATATAAATGAATATCAGTGTACGTTTAGATCATAACAACTGTTGCAATGAACGCAGCTCTGTCTCAGACCTATCGGGATCCACAGGTCCCCGCAAGTTTCGGGGGTGTTGCTGCTTTGCATCGTGCTTTAAAAGGTCGCGTAAAAACAAAAGAGATCCAGAAATGGTTGCAAACCAAGGATTCTTATACTTTGCACAAGCCTTTGAGGCACACGTTTCCCAGGAACAGAGTCATCGTAGGAGGCTTAAACGAGCAATTTCAATCTGATTTAGTGGATATGCAATCCCTGGCCTCTTTTAATGATGGATATAAATATTTGCTGACCTGTATAGATATCCTTTCCAAATACGCTTGGGCTATCCCTCTCAAAGATAAAACATCTGTGTCCATCCAATCCGCTTTCGAAAAGATATTTTCGGAACGTACACCCGAATCATTACAAACAGATGCAGGGAAAGAGTTTACCAATAAACAAGTTCAAAATTTTTTGAAAAAGAGAAACGTTCACTTTTTCACTACACATAATGCAACCAAAGCTTCTGCCGTAGAACGGTTTAATCGAACTCTAAAAAAATGTGGAAATACTTTACCGAAATGAATACACGAAAGTACATTGATGTGATTGATAAATTGATATCCAGTTATAACCATACATGGCATCGTAGTATTAAGACAGAACCTGTATCCGTTACGCTACAAAATCAAGAAAGAATTTGGAAAACATTGTACGGACAGCAACCAGCACAAGTGCCTGTTTCTTCAGATTTAAAGATTGGAGATACGGTACGCATCAGCCGAGAAAAAATGGTCTTTGAGAAAGGATACGAACAAAATTGGACACGAGAAATTTTTACAATCTATAAAATTATTCGACGAATTCCTGTTGTCTATAAACTGAAAGATCTTGCAGGAGAAGTTATACAAGGAACGTTTTACAAACAAGAACTTCAAAAGGTTTCGGACTCTGGTTATTATCCTGTAGAAAAAGTTTTAAGAAAGAGGAAACGTCGCGGGAAAATAGAATATTTTGTGTGAAATTTCAGGGGTACCCCGAAAGCTTCAATGCTTGGGTGGAGGATGTGAGAAGGGTATAAAAGGCCCGTACATTCTGCTTATCTGTCATTTGAACGAAACATGTCTTTCTTTATCACACTGATCAGCGACAGCTCCATGCGTTTTTTTCCAGACAACAAAAATATCACAATTTACCACTCAGCTTCCTACTCCGATGGATTTAAATAGTCAGTGGGAGTTATCTCTTGTGGACTTTATTTACCCTCACACATGGTATAACGTCCGAAAAGACAATAATTTATTTGGATTTGATTTGGGTGATGGAAAATTGGAAGGTCGAAGAGTGCCTCCAGGATGTTATGAAACGATACCAGATTTATTAAAAGCCGTGAAAATATCTTCCCATAAAAATAAAATTGAATTCAGTTATCATCCTGCCACGAAAAAGTGACCATTAAGACCGACGAAAACTGAAAAGTCATTCTTCACGAAGGATTAGCGGAGCTTCTAGGGTTCGAGCCGGGTGTTTACAAAGGATTGGAACAAAGTCCTTTTGTAGCCGATCCCAAAGTATCTTTTCCTGTCATGTATGTGTATTGCGATCTCGTAGAGCCTCAAATTGTGGGAGATGTACAAGCCCCGTTGTTAAAAATTGTCACCGTAGAAGGAAATGACGGAGACATCATAAACGCTCATTACCCCCCGGCCCTTTTACTTGCCAGTCATCCGTCAACATTTTCAGACTATACATATTGACATAAGACTTCACTCTGGAGATTTAGTACTATTCGAAAGAGGCAAAGTATTTCTTGTGTTGCATTTTCGTCTGAGACAAATTCTATAAAAGAAGCCTTCATCTTGCAAATTGATTTCATTTGGATTGTGTATGCAAGATTAGAAGCATCAAACATGCGGGTGCCTTATACGTGTTGCACGAAAAAATTTGAAGATTATTATTTAGCTCAAACTGGAAATGGATTACCTTACTATCAAGGAACCATTTTACAGAAAGGTTATGGTATTGGTGGATTTTTTGCAAAGCTGTTTCGCAGTGCTATGCCTTTTTTGATGACGGGGGCCAAAACAGTTGGAAAAGAAGCTTTACGGACTGGAACACAGATTGCAAATGACGTATTGTCGGGAGAAAATTTTAAAGTCTCCCTCAAAACCAGATCTAAAGAAGCTGGCAAAAAAAAATTAGCGAGGAAAGCAGCAGTTCAGAAAGCAGACGAGATGATTGGTCACGGAAGGTTTAAAAGGAAGCGCAAAACCCCCAAACACTTCATTTCGTCTAAAGCCAGGAAGGTGCAACGACGTGATATTTTTGACTCGTAATGGCTTTTCTGTTAAAAGATTCTCCAGGAATGCGCAAAATCCGAATTGGATTTATTTTCGTTACCTCCCACACAAACAGTTATCGAAAAAGGTCAGTGGGTTGAATTTCATCCATTAGCCAATGTATCGGAAGGAAGTCCTGTCGAGTTCAATGTTTCTGGAAGCGGAGACGACTACCTAGACTTATCACAGACACAACTCTACGTCAAAGTGAAAATTTTAAAAAATGATGGCAAGCCAATCACGGCTGAAAGTAAAGTGGGACCTGTCAATCTCTTTTTACATTCTATGTTTTCTCAAGTGGATATTAGCTTAAATGAAAGACTCGTTTCCACCAGTAATAACACGTATCCTTACAGAGCCATGATAGAAAAATTATTGAATCATGGTTTTGATACGAAAACGTCTCAACTGTCATCAGAATTGTTTTTCAAAGATACAGCAGGACGTATGAACGTTTTTGATATTCAAGACACTCAGCCGAATGAAGGATTCAACCAACGAGCAGAATTGTTTAAACTGAGTGCTTCGGTCGATATGATTGGCCGATTGCACTTGGATATGTTTCATCAGGAAAGACTTTTGCTGAATATGGTGGATATGAAAATTAAACTCATACGCAGCAAACCTGAATTTTGTTTATTGGGCGAAGGTGAATTTAAAGTTTTACTCGAACAAGCTTCATTGTTTGTACGCAAAGTGAGAGTCAGCCCAGGTGTTGTGCTAGGACATGCCAAAAGCCTAGAAAAATCAACAGCCAAATATCCCATTAATAGAGAGTGCTCTGCAAAGCCTATTCCATTCCAACTGGGAAATATGAGTTTTATTCAAGACAATATTTTCATAGGTCAAATGCCTAATCGTATTGTGGTGGCATGTGTCGATAATGATGCCTTTAACGGAAACTATAAAAAGTCTCCTTTTGAATTCAAGCATTATAATATGAACTTTATCGGCGTTTATGTGGACGGGCAACCGGTACCTCATAATCCTCTTCAGCCTAATTTTGACAAAAATCATTTCATACGAGCTTATCAGAATTTATTTATGAATGCAGACGACAGAGGACTTTACCTTTCAAGATCAGAATTTTCAAAAGGATATTCCTTATTTCGCTTCGACCTGTCACCTGACCTTTGTGATGGCTCTCATTTAAATCTAGTTCGACACAGCAACTTAAGATTAGAAATAAAATTTGGGACTCCCTTACAACAAACTGTTTCGTTATTAGTGTACGCTGAATTTGAAAATTTGATAGAAATCAATAAAGCTCGAAATATTCTGTACGATTTTGGAAACTGATGAATTCATCACAGATTCATCAAATCTTATCTCGAGATCCTATTTCTTTGAGATATTATGCGGGTGTTTTCCCTTGTGAAAAAATACCTGCGATTCAAAGTTTTCCCTGTGCACTGGTGCTCAATACGGATAAACATGATGAAAAAGGAACTCATTGGCTAGCTGTCTACATTGCAGACAAACAGACTCTGGAATTTTTTGACTCTTATGGACTCCCGCCTGAAGTATATGGAAAAGATATCACATCCTTTGTCAAGAAATATCGTCATGTTTGCTGGAACAAGATTTCGCTTCAGAGTTTAACTTCTAATGTATGTGGACATTATTGTATTTATTTTATTATTAAACGCTGTCAAGGACTCTGTATGGAACTCATTGTATCACCCTTAGATGGAAAGAATCATGATTTCCAAATATTTCAATTTGTCAAAAAAAGATATGGTGTAAACATGATTTTTAAAAAATAAAGTTGTTTTAATTTGTAAAAATGTCTCTTGTGTTTCTTTGTTTCTTTCTACATTATTTAAACAAAATGAACAAAATTAGAAACTTTTGGGGTATAACTTCCATGTCAAAAGGAAAGACAAAAAATTGTTGATTTTCAAGTATAATTTGTATCTCCAATGTATAAACAAGATTTCAATGTTTTCAAAATAAAACAACACTTGTTTATAAAATTATCAAAAGATTGATTCAATAGTTTTATCAAGTGCAACGAGTTTTCCAATTTTATTTCAATCACACACATTGCGGAGAAACTTTGTCGTTCAAGCTTTTAAATGTTTCAAAAATCACTGTTTGGAAACATATTGTGATTCAAGGAGCTGTCTTCTGATTGCAAGTTTTAGAGATTTTCTGTAAAGTATAAAAGTCATATTTTCTTGTTCTGTCATTTCCAAAAATGGAACTGCCCAAGTTCGTACATCCTTCTACTTGTCTTCTGAGCGGACCTACCGGTTCGGGTAAAAAACGGTTTTTGTGAAGAAATTGATAGATCATAAAATGTTCCATCCCATGCCGACCAATATTATTTATTGCTACGGAAGTTATCAACCTCTTTTTAATTCCATGAAAAACGTAAATTTTGAAGAAGGATTACCATCTAACCTGCAGACTCTCCTCTCAAAATGCTTTAATTATCATATCATAGACGATTTAATGTCTGAATTAGCAAGTGATACTCGCTTAAGCAAACTTTTTACAAAAGGAAGTCATCACCGAAACCTTTCAGTCGTTTTTATAACACAAAATCTTTTTCACCAAGGCAAGGAGATGAGAAATATTCATTTAAATTCCCATTACCTTGTCCTATACAAAAATCCTAGAGATAAAAGTCAAATTATGCATTTAGCTAGACAAATGTTCCCCGGAAAAGTAAAGGCCTTTCAAGAAATTTTTCAGGATGCTACTTCAACTCCATTTAGCTACTTGTTGATTGATTTACGACCTGAAACAAGTGAAACGCTTCGCCTTCGTACAGGCATCTTTCCTGGGGATAAATACTATGTCTACCAGCCCCGATAGTTCATTTCAGTTTGAGACGTCGAATGGCTAACATGTCTTCTCCCATCGTGATCGATTTCGAAGGTTTTCAGTGGATGCCTCATTGTTACATTGTTAAAGAATTAGCTTTTTACTCCGTGCATGAAGGATATCACAGTTGCTGGTCATTTTTACCTCCTCAGCCTTGGAAAACATTATCACGATCTCAGCAAAAGTGTTTTGCTTGGGTCACAAGAAATCGTCATCATGTGAATTGGAGTGAGGGTGTTTTACCTTATACTCATCTTCGTATTATTTTGCAATATTTGTCATCTATTTATTCTGTCATATACGTGAAAGGATTAGAAAAGAAATTATTTTTAGAAAATTTATTATGTAGAGACATCATAAATCTAGACTGTCCTAAGATAGAGAATTTAAAAAAGAAAAGTTCTTTAACATGTTCGATTCATGCAAAAGGATTTAATTGCTGTGCTTTAACCAAAGCGGCTGCATTTGCTACCTATATAAAAGAAAGTGTGCAAGAAAAAGAGCTCATTTGTCATCAGCATGTCTCATCTGAAGGATGTGGATTATCTAAAACTATTAGGAAAAAGTCGAATAAAAGCAGCTGTACTGAAAAAGTGTCCGAATCATCTCATTAAATCAGTTTGTGAGTGTGTTTTAAATCTTCTAAAAGGAAACGTACCCATCACCAAACGGGTCAAAAATCGACTCGCCCCTTTTAAAAGAACTTTAAGAAAACTAGCGGACAAAAAAGTACCTCTTTTTAAGAAAAGGCGTCTTTTGGTTCAAAAAGGTGACGGTTTCCTATCTTTCCTGATTCCTGCAGCAGTCAGTGTCTTATCCTCTCTTATCCATGGAACACAGTAAGAAATTTGCGCTGGTACCCCTGGATCGTATGCACCAGTTTGAAGATGAACATTTGAGTGATTTAGATACCCAAATTCAAAACATCTTAAAAAAGAAAATGGACGATGAAGAAAAGTCTAAATTGTACATCCAAGTTCTGCAAAAGTATGTTACATTTCCTCATGTGAACACTTCCGAAGAACAACCGCCTGAACAACGTTCTGAGAAAGATATAGAAAAAGAAATTATGCAAACAGTTCCTGTGAAGCAGAAAAGAACGGCACAGAAAATAATAGATTTTCTAAAAGAGCATCAGATTTCCTGGACACAGAATAAAGAACTCATTCTGGATGATCATGTGTTTTCTGGCTCTGACATTGTTCAGTTGATAAACTTTCTGTTGAGAAATAGAACTCAAAAACCTTTTGCCTTTGAACAGTTTAAAAATGTACTGAATGTTAACAACTTTCCTCAAGACTTTGTCAAAAACAAACATTTAATGAATGTAAAAAACTATGTATGCTAGACCTAAAAGAAAATCCTCTTCGCAAACTGTGGCTGAAATTGTAATGACATGTGTAATACTTTGAGATATGAATAAAAGTTAATTTCTGATTATTTGTGTTATGTTTTTCTTTCTAATTAAACTAACATATAAAATATTTTTTTTTTGAAAACTAAATATACATAATCATAACCATTATTTTCTAAAAAAAAAATATTTAAAAAAACTTACCTTTCATGCCATTTTTGAAAAAAAAGAAAAACCATAATTTTCAAACTTCTGTTTATTTTTTATCTAAATAAGTTTTTACACACGCAAATACTGTGCATAACATCTTTTTACATACAAAAATTTTTTTTGTACATACCATACATTTTTACAAAAGTTATTTTCAAAAGCCCAAATGGTAAGGTGGTCAAGTCCTGTTGGATCACCCTTTTATCCAACACAATTCTGTACAGTTTTGTTTCCGGTTTATTCACCACCTTTCTTCTCTTCGCTTCTCGGGTGATTTTGCAGGGGTTGTGGAGAGAGATGATCTCACTTCGGTCGAGGCTGCAGACCAGACTTTTAATGGCTTCAAAATTCAGCAACTGGGAATTCCGGAAGTTCAATGAAAATCCTCGGACTTTGCAGCAGGTTTTCCCAGTGGCCGTCTGGTATGCGTAGTTTTTCGGTCCTCCTGAAAAAATAAAACATCATGAGAAAAAAAGAGATAATAGAAAAAACATTAAACATTTTTTTGGTACATATTAAATAAGGAACTTTTTAAAGGTGTTTACCTGACACGAAGGTTTTGATAACATCTCCATCCAGTTCGTCGGTAAATTCTCCTAAGAAGTTTCCTAAGGGGGGATCGTTGCAACCATTCGAGGCATAGATGATGGAATCTGTGTCGTGATACAGGACATCTCGACCCAGCTTCTCCATTTCACTATACAGCTTGAGACGAGCCCAAGCTGTCGTAAAAGTTGCTAGAAAAATGTTGGTCGAGGCATCCTGCGGTACAACTCCTTTGAAGATTCCCAGCAAATGGCAGCCACCTCAGGCGTGGGAAGAAAGACATCCTTGATCTGAAAATAAAAGAAGAATCATAAGTTAACAGTTCAAAATAGTTATGAGTTAACAGTTTGAAACACACTAAGCTTATAGATGGATAAAATCGATAAGAAAACTTACTTTTTTAGTAGGATCCGCCAACATCTTATTAAAGTCTGGCACCGTATGTACGTAGGTCAGTTGCGCTTTGTTGACGTTCATGCCCCATCTGAAACAAAAATTCAACATAAATCACAAAGAATTAAAAATGTTTACAAAAAATTTAAGTCCAAAAGAAATCATCTTACCTGCCCCAGAAACTGTTTAGGGCCAACTTGGCAACTTGTCGACGCCCAGGGTTCTTGGAAATCTTTCCAGCGTCCAACTTGACGCCCTCTCTTTCTTCATACTGGCGAATATAGTTTAATTTGTCTTCAGGCGTCACACACTCCGAAGGCTAACCACTACTTTCCTGTTGGATCTTCAGAAAGAGATCAATGTAGGAACGAAACAGGGAAGTAGACGATTCTTTGAAATGATAGACTTCGTAAATCTAGAAAATAAAGAATAAATTTCAGTTATGACAAAAGATTTTAAATAAATTTGGGTTATGACAAATAATTTAAATAATCTTTGAATACTTACATGTGTGACGCGGTAACCTTTCTTTATCGCCAGCTTGACTTCTTCCGATACCCACGTTCCGACAAGAGCTCTTTCATCGTCTGTGTGGGTACAGGAAGACTGAGACTGTAGAAAGGCACAAGTCCGACACAGGGGGAACATGAGCTTCTTCCTACACCGATAGGGCAGTACCGGGAGATAGAGGTTCCGAGGAGGAATCACACGGCACTGGATAAGTCCAAAGTAATTTTCTATATCCCCAAAGCTTTCCGTAATGATTGTTGGATGTCCTACAGGGTAGACGCAATATTTGTTCAAAAAGTCAAAAAAAATACATAAAAATCAGAAAAATCATTCCATGAAAAGGTTTTAAAATAGAAAAAGTACGAACCCATGGATAGAGCGTCTCCCTCGTGGAACAATTTGAGGGCAAAAAATCGTCTTTTATCCCTCAGATGGTGTTGCTCCAGGAAAGCTTGGAGATCCGGATTTTCCTCTTTTTCTCTCTGAAACTCATGCTCCCACATTTCTATGACGTGGAAACCCTGGGTGCGAAGCTTTCGTGTGGTCTCTTCCGTTTTCTCTCGCAACGTTGTCATGGAAACCCCTTTTAGTGGATGAATGACATCACCGTCATAACAGGAACTACACCCGTGGAAGAAACAGCCCTAAAATAATACAAATATATTAATAGTGTTCCACATGTAAATTAAACATTAAAAGTGTAAAATCATTAAAAAGAATCATATAGAAAAATAATTTACTTTTTACATACCTGAAACTGATAGACGGTTTGTGTTGCTTGGCAGAAACCGTCTACCGAGATTCCGGCGATTCTGTGCTCTCCGGAACCATTCAACGCATGTTGAATGGCAATGCCTTCCGAAGCAGCAACAAAGTCTAACCACCGGATCGAATCAGGGCTGTAATTCGTTGAGTTGACGTAGCCGTGTGTGGGCACCATGGCAATCGTGTTGGGCTGAATGTGGCCACTCCGATACGTTGCCATACAGGCTGACGCAATGGTCACGTATCTGAAAAGAAATTAAAAGGATGGTATGAGACACTAAACATAACATAATTGTAAACATGATTAGAACAGAATGAGAAAATAACTTACTGGAATGGATCCACACCCGCCACATCCAAAAACTGGGCTCGAAACTCCAGACAACAGCGGCGAAGAATATCCACGTCCGATCTATGAATATAAAAAGAAAATGTTAAATATACGAAACATAAAATATAAAATTAAAGCAAGAAAAAAGGAAAAAAACATACCTGCAATAGGCCAGCATCTCGTCTTGAAAATTGAACACATCCCCCTTGTGTTCCTCATGCCAGGACAGAAATGCTTGTCGGGCTGAAGTGCTCATGGTATCCGGGCTGTAATAGTGGGGGTCCGGTAGCGGTCCGACATAACTCTGGTTTTCCCTCGAGTTAAAGAGATGAGGGAAGTATCCTTTCTTTAACTCGGTGAGACCGAAGCATCCCGGTAGTTTGGCCAACGCCATCGGTAAAAAGTTTAACGAGTCTATGACCCGAATGTTGAGACTGGGGTGTCTTACACTCATGATCATAGACCCGTTAGGGATCACCTCCGGCGCTGTGCCTTGCTCCAGGAGCCAGGCCATCACGAACTGTCCGTCAAACCTGTAAGTAAAAAAAAACATGAATAATATTGAAAAAATAGTCGTACTTAAAAAGCATGCAAACTATGGTATTTTTAACTTACCCTTTCATGTTGTGTGCCACGGCGGTGAAGCCCTTGTGCTCTGTAGAGAACAGCCAGGCGCAGAAGTTTCGGCATGCCGCGTATCCTGGAAACACTTTTTCTGTGCCGTCGGCATACTGAGCCACCGCGAAATTTACGAGATGCTCCCCCGAAGACTGGTCCGTTTCAAAGTCAAAGAAAATGAACTTATTCTCGGACTTCTTCGGAGCAACACGTCGCAAATAGCAACGGTGCTCAGCAGCCACGACAAACTGGTTGCAAGAAGGGCATTTCGTGGTGCCACACCTATGCAACTCTTTAGGGCAATCCCGCCTCCGGATCACTTGGCAGCATTCTCTGCACTGGTATACCTATAACGAAAATTTCAAAATATTTAAACATACGATAGATAAACATTTAAATTATTTAAACGAGAAATTTGCATATATATTGATTTAGATGAATAATTTCAGAATACTTACTCTATCGCAAAGCGAAAATTCTTGATTTCCAGTCAGGGCTTTGTGTGCTTCAAAGCAGGCATCGGATCGGCAGAGACGGTCACAATCCTGGCATCGTTGGGGCTGGCCCTGGAAAGCAGTCGGTTCTTAAACATATGGGACAGGCATTGGCGCATCGATGTTCTTCTATGCGCTGGTAGGCCTTTTCACATGCTGTGCAATAATGGTCGCTGCCAAAAAATCCTTTCAAAGATTTAATGACATCGTAGTGCCCATAGTGAAGCCATAAATTTATCCGTTGGGCCCTCTCCCTTCCTTTGTAGACCACCTAAAACATAGACACAAAATTTTTTCTCTTTAAAAATAAAATCCAGCAAAATATTCAAATTTTAACATCTAAGAGAACTGCATAAAGCCTAAAATATTTTCAACGCATTCAGTTTAACACGTTTTAACATCTACATGCATGAAGTTAATTTAGAAATTAGCTGTGTATTCAAATTTTATAAGTTGATCATTTAAAACAAATTGCAAACATACGTAAAATAATAAAGTTATCCAAATAAAAGTAAAATAAAATTTCACACTGCATTCGATTTTTTACAAGTTATATTTTTAACACGGAAAGTATAATCTAAAATATTCATCACGCATTCAGTTTTACAAGTTAAAGTTTTAACATTTAAATGATCAGAAATATATGCCTAAATGTTAACTTTTTGCAAATTATATTTTTAACATAGAAACAAATTGCGTTTGTGCATACATGTAAATAAAATCTAAAAAGTTAAAGTATTCTAAAAATAAAAATTTTTACGAGATATATTTTTAACATGTAAACGAATTGCATAAAGTAAGTTAAAAATTTTTATCAAAAATAAAACATTTTTACACGTTATATTTTTAAGGTGGAAATGAAAAATTCATTATGCATAAACTTTAAAATAATTAAAAAATCGAACAATTTAGAAATCAGTTTTTTTAGCCGTTATATTTTTAACATGGAAAAAGCAATATGCATGAATAAATGTTAATCTTAAAATTTAAAGTAAAATAAATTTTTAGGCTGCATTCAGGTTTATCAAGTTATATTTTTCAACGCATAAACAAAATGAAAGTATCATCAATAAATACATAAACTATAATGCTAGTCATCTCAATTTTCAGTTCGTTAGAAACTGTTAAATTTTATTTTTAAAAATTATACCAAAATAAATTTTTCATTCATAATTTTTCAAATAAACAAAATGAAACTAAAATCAAATTACGATTTTAAAATAAATATGTAGAAAAGATTCAGGTAATTTCAAAGCTAATATTTACAAACAGAAATATCTGGAGACAAAAATTAACTTACCTGGTTCAAATTTTCCGAAGAGAAGACTGCAATTTGGACATCCAAGTGGGCTTCAAATCTAGGCAAATTTCAGTAAACGTGCAGGGACCTACGGGAACATTCGCAGCCATATGAGCTCTTTTGCTCGCTTCACGAGGGCTGGCCGACGGCGATCTTGCATGGTTTTAATGGCAGTTGTATCTTTATGCAAATGTGCCAAAGCATACACAATCGCCTTAGCACAGCACAGTCCTTCGTCGTCGTAGGGAATGGACAAAACAGATTTTTTATTTAGTCTGTCCATGGAGATGTTAAAGACTCTTTTGATGTTTCTTCCAGCACCTACAGGTCGTCTGATGGTGATCACGTCCACCGAAAATCCTGTATCCAGCTCTATTTTATCTTTGGACTGCAGGCAGTACTTTCATAACTGCAGCCAAAATCTTTTCGACCGTCAAAGTCGAAACAGTCATCAACGGATGTGCTGATCGGTTTGTCCAACCCTTCTGCTTGAATGCAAAACCGAATGAGGTTCGATGGATTTAAATCAGCTGCTGTACGGCGAATGAGTTGTTCGAACAACTCCCGAACGGTGTCAGGAATTCGGACCATCGGGACTCCTTGCACATTCAGAGGCAACCGTTCAATGTCCACACTGGCTCTGAAAGTAATTTCCTCGGCTTGATATTTATGGTTCCGTCGACGAGACTTTTCAGTAAGCACTATCGCCTCATCGATCTGAAACATAAAAATTAAGTTTGCATTAAGAATCAAACATTTTCAAAAAGACACTATTTTAATAAATCATGCAAAAAAGAAAAAATACACACCGAACGTTCTTCGGAACCAGCCATATATACAGGCCCACGAGTTGACGAGGAAGAATTCTAAAAATAAATAAAATAAAAATAAATACATTCATTTCTAGTACTAGAAAAAATATTCTAATCGAATCATAACGAAACGAAAATTTACCTCAAATCCGGAACCCACTTGATAATACAAGGGTAGATCCATAGGATTTTCCATAAAGATTTGATCCACTTCATCGATTAACTATCAAAATAAAATAAAATACGTTTAAAATACATTCAAATAGTAATAAAATACGTTAAATAAAAAAGTGCGTTAAAAATACGTGTAAAAACTTACATCGTCATCTGAGTCCCGAAAAGGAAAGTCAGGATCTTCAAACGGGACCTGGCAATTAAAAATTTAAATAAATAAAACATTCAAAAAGAAATAAAATTCGTGTTCAAAATAGTAATCTAGAAATTAAGTACAAGCGAAAAAATACTTACATTAGATGCAGAATAAGTTCGTTTAGCAGACATCGTGTACAAGAAAACGAAATGGCGCAGGAAAATGACAGAGTCAAAATGACGTTCACTCAGCAAGAATCAGAGTAGAAATGATTGCAATCATCAAAGCGAGCGAATATATAGACGATGTATAAGAAAGCAATACGCTGATTGGCTGAAATAAGATAGATATTGTTAGCGGAATGCTGATTGGTTGTTAAGATTGTATACGTTCGCCACGGCGGATGTAGAAAGCGTGAAGCGGTTTCGACAGGCTGCAACGTGAAACACAGCCAACTCTATAATGGCCTTGAAGCGCAAAAGTCACGTGATCAAGATGGTCGATGTATTTTTGTGGTAGTGTGTGGTTGTGAACTCGTGGTCGTGAATTTTTTGGATGTATATTTTGCTATTAAGTGATTTTAAATCATTTATGCTAAGGTAAATAATATTTTTATCTATACTTCGTTTTATACTTTTTTTAATTTTTAGATTTATTTGGGAAAATTTGTAGCTGTTCTCAATCCTATTCAAGTATTTCGTTTTAACATAACATCGAATACATTTACTCTAGTTTGGACGTTTCGCGTAGTGTTGTTTTGAATATTTGTTTGGAATAGTAAATTAGGAATTCCTTGTTTTGATTATTTCTTTCTAATAGCATATTTGACATTCTATCCCAATAAAAGAAACTTTATCACCACAAACTTTTCAGTCATTAATAACAATTACAGATGCATTCAATTGATTCCATGTTTGTTTCAAAAGTATGAAGCTGAATACATATTGTTAGGAAAATTTCAATGCTCCTGAATCATGTTTTGAAATGTATCGGCAAATGTCAGGTTCAGATTATTAAATAAATGACCTACAATTATTAGAAAATAAGAAGAAGCTTCGTTTTAAAAACAATATTATAATTTCAACCAAATATGAATGTCCCTTTTACCAGATTATGATAAGGATTCTATCTTTACTTTTGCGAATATTAATTGATTATTCAAATTTACTATTAATGATTTTTTATAGAAAATGTTTCTTCTGATATTTTAGCAGTGCTAATTTATGTTTCAGGTTATGATGCCATGAAAAAATTAAGGGTGATAAAATGCAATATTTGACAGGACTGGTTGCAAAGTATTCATTCAGTAGATACAGCAGATGATATTTTTGTTTTCTTAAAGAATTAGATAAGGGGGAAATTAAAAATTTTCCATCTGAAGTTACTCTATTAAAATCTTCAATTGTATATTTCTTGTTTGGTGAAATTCTTAAAAACATGGAAAATACATTTCTTATGCCAGGAAAGCAAATGGATATTTTATATAAGTTATCTTGGATACGGTTAGTATACCATACAGTTACTTTAATTTAACAGATTCTTGCACTTGTGGAATGACTTTACAAACTCGGTTAGAAAATATGTTTGATAACTTGTAAAATAATGTTAAATAATTATGCAAAATATAAAAATGACAAAATCAATATAAAATGTTCATATAAAAATGTTAACAAATTTAATTAATTTCAGTTAATAACTCAATTGTTTATTTTGATTTATGCTTTGTTTCTGCATAGATTATGTATAATATGTAGCATGTATGTATATGGTACAGCTTCAAGTTTTATGAATTTATTTTTAATAGTGGAATAAACCTGTAATTTGGAGGAAATCACTTTAAAAAAAAACCAAGCCTAATCACTTACCTCTTGGATGGTTTGGAAAAAGTGATTTTGATTGGAATTTGATTTAAATTGGAACTAGTACAAATAGATGGCTGTCCTTTTTTATGAATGCAATTAGCATTTAGTTCTTTGATATTATCTTGAAAGATTTATTTATAGTACAACAAGCATGTAAGTTCATCTTTATATTCAAATTTTCTAGCATTTAAGGAATTTTAATTCATTTTCCTGTTTTGATAAAATTGAGATATGCAGATTTTATTAGTGAATGGAGTGAAGAGAGATGACTATGGGTATTTGACTTTTAAAAATTTATATAGCTGATGCGATGGTAGTGGCATGGAGTTTTACAAAATAATTCTTCCCTTAATATTTATTTTACTAGTATGAAAATCTAAAATTTGCATCCATAAATCTATTGAATTCCCCCCTTATGTGGATTTTATATTATTTTGGCAATAAATTTGACTCAGATTACATAAATGAATTTCATTTTTATCAAAATTACATAAATAAAGTTCGCATGAGGTGATTCTCAATAATATTTTTAGTTACATAAACGAAGTACAAATTGTTTAAAAAATTATTGAAGATATGCATTTTTACCGCCTGTAAAAATATTACACTATGAAAATTTAATGTTAATCATACGACCTACTCACGTTTACTAATTTTACTTATATTTATTTTAATACAAACTACTATTTTCGGTAAAGTTTAACTCCGGGATTATGGTAAAGAGAAAGAAATCGACTATTTCGATCACGTGACCTTCCGAAACTGATTTCGCTTCAAGGCCATGATACAGTCGGCTGTGAACGTGAAAGAGGTGACGTTTGCCTGTTTCCCCCAGCCTAGTGACGTCATGGTGATTTTCGCACCAAACGGAAAAATAACAGGTTTGACAACATGAAGGACTTAGCAGAGCGGTAAAGCGCTGGACTCCGATCCCAGAGATAGCGAGTTCGAATCTCAGCCGTGGAGTTATTTTTAAAATTCATTAAAAAGGGATTAAAATAAAATGGAGTCAATTAAAACTAATTAAAAATAATGACGGATTAAATAATTTAAAAGGATGATTCATAATTAAATAATGAAACATAATTAAAAAATAATGAATAAAAAAGATTAAATAACTAAAATAATAAAGAAAAAAATTGGTAAATAAGGAAAATAATAAAGTTGACGTCACGTGGTTTAAGCGACCATTGCCACAAACATAAAAAATAGTGTCGTTGCCACAAAAAATAAAAAACTTTGAAAAGATCGTTGCCACAGAATCAAAACGAAACTCAACATGATTACGTCATTCCATCACGTGATACAAGATGGCGCTGGTGTCGTCACTTCCGGAGAAATTCAAAATGGCGGAGGCCACGCCCCTTTTCTGTGACGTCACTTCCGCCGGCTGAGTACCCCGGCTTACTACTAATGTGTAACACAAGGACATAATAACGACATTTTCACAACTGTTACGAAAAGGTGGAATTTTGCGAACATTAAAGGCCCATTTACACTAGCGGAACTTTGAGCCTAAGAAACGCAGGCGAATTTGAAGACTCGTTTAAGAGCTTTTAAACAGCAATTTTTTCGTATTATGAGGGAATATTTAACTCTTGATTAATGTTATAAGTTAGGCTGTTTATTTAAATATGTACATATTCAGTTTCAGTTAAAAAAAAAGAGTAACATTTTCGCCATTTAGTGAAGCTAGCAACTTCCGCGTGCATTTCTTAGACTCAAAGTTCCGCTAGTGTAAATGGGCCTTTAGGCGTCTTTAAGGCGTCGAGATACGATGCTTTCACAACCAATATATCACTTGCGAAAGACGCAATAACGACGTCTATGCGACAAAAAACCTCATCTGCAAAGACGTATTAAAGAAGTGTTTGCAACGGTTGAAAAACAATGGACGTTTGCAGACATCTGGGCGTCTTAAAGACGACATATTGCAACGTTTTTTCAATGACATCCGCGACAAGTTTGCAACGTCGTTACGACGTTGCTGTACTTTTTGGGATTATAAGGAGCCATTTAGTGTGATACTGGGAAGTTTGTAATGCAGAGTTTAGGCAATCCAAATACAAGCAGAAAAAATTTAATTGAGTTAATTATTTACTCAGTTATTAATGTTATTTTCTAAGCTAAGAAATCATAATTATTAATTAGTAAAATTTATACTTACAATTCTAAAACATTTCTCTCAATGTCAAAATTTATATTGAATTCTACAGCGGCTAAGAGTACGCGCATGTTGTCTGTGCGTATTCTTAGATCCCAAGCTACTGATTTATTAAATCGGTTAAAGAGAGCAGCACTGTGCACGACAGTTTAATTCTGACATGGCTACATTGTTTGAGCGGGAACAACCATCATAATACTAGTTACTTTGAAAGTTAGAACTAGTCCTTCAGTTAAAAAACACGAGGATTACTTAGCTAAAAAATTACATGCGACAATAACGAAATCATATCTTAAGTCTAAGACAACGAGGAAAGAAATGTTAATGGCAGCTTTGTGAGGGTGTGTAAACACATACATTTGATCAAGGATCAAGGAAGGGTTCAATGACGAGGCTCATAATGCCTTTATCCCCACATCATCAAAGATTAAATAATTATCATCAAAAAGAGGGCTCGGCAAAGAGGTAAAATTTAGTGTCGAATTGTCAAAATAACAAAAGTTAAACTGCCTTCTTCAGTGAAAAAAAGGTAAAAACACTGAAGGAAAAATTTAATAATTTGAGATGGTAAAAACAGGGGAAAGGAACCAATCGCGAAAGGTCATTCACGTCGCAAGATTTATTAAAAATTAACTGTAATTTTAATTTAAATTTAAAAACAAAATTCTATCTCACAGATTCATATAAAACTGAGACAGAGCCAATACCTTGCATAGTCTAGCTAATCGGTTCCGCCATTATCCCATACTGTTTGAAATCTGATTAACTGAAAAACTAATTGCAACATACATAAACATACAAAAAATGATAATAGATTCCAAAAAAAGCTTTTTTTTTTCCTCTTTTTTCAACAAATAAAACGCACTTTATAAATTCAAATGTCTTATCATGAATATTTTTAATGCATATTTATCGTAATTCACTTTTTGATTGACTAAAAATTTCAATATGGTAGTCTGCAGATGTTTCTTTTAGATATTCTGCAGATGTTCAATAGCGGCTGAGTGCTTAAATCGCTGAACCCTGATAGTTCGGTCCGGAGTTTGAATCTCGACGAACGGATTGGCTGCATGGGTGTTTTTGTAGATTTCCCCAGGTTTAACACTTTTCGGCACGCTACCTTTTAAAGTTGGAGTTTTGATTTAAAGGAAAAAAAGGTAGGCAG